ACCTTATTTTGACATCAGCAATGTGATTAGGGTAATGATGAATTACATGTACTTACAACAATATATCACTTATAGTTGAATTTTTTTAAATCCCAATTTTGCCCTCTTATAGTTCTTTTTAACCTTGACTCAAAAAAGAAACTACCCAAAATCTTGGAAGGTTTGGATTCAAGAATCATTTTCTTTCCTCTCGGGATCATTTGCATTTTTTTCTTTGAAAACTCCTAGTGAGTCCATTGAACTAATGAATGCTATGAGTCCACTTCATAGAATTCTTCTCAGAAGGAGTTTGTGTTCAAATCAACATTATAACTCTCGATTTGCATTTGTTAGTGGGCATCAATTAAAATATATATGCCCTTCAAATCGATCAAATTGATTGAATCTCCATTCCGGAGTATCTAGAACTGCAGTTTTTCTATGAATCACGAACTCAATTGGATTTTTATTAATTTCAAAACTAAACATTAGTTGTGATCAAAAGAATTTAACATTTCATACAACTTTTTTTTTTCTAAAAATTAGATATCAAAAGTTTTGAAAAAGAAAAACAAAACACGGGTTGTTGAATCAGCAACTAATATGGGGAAAAAGGAAATAATGAGCTCTCTCTCAAGTATACACATAAAAGCTTTTGAAACTGAAAGAAAGCATTCCCGCTTCACTTGATCACTATGGCTTTGTACAAGGAATACGGTTTGGGATGATCATCAGCACTAATGCAAACTTCGATTTTCTCTAGGCTACGCATTGGACAAATTGAAATAAATAGGTATTTCTTCTCAATGGAGGTCTGAAAATGGTGCACATCTCCTTTTTTGTAAAAATTTCCATCTTGTTTTTAGTACAAATGCTCATCTTTTTATTTGTGCTTAAGAATACATGTCCCTTAATATAAAAACTCTGACACCTTAGGTTTAAAGGCTTAATTAAAATTGATATAAATGTGTGTGTGTGTGAGAGAGAGAGAAGAGATTAATTAAAATTAAATTTGAATTTATAAAGGAGAGGAAAATTAAATTCAACTAATATTGGTCACATATCAGTCCAATACGGACGAAAAATTATGAAACTATCTAATTGTATATGTTTCGTGTATCGGAACTCTTCTGAAATGATACGTATCGAATAATACGTTGATTTTATTCAATATGATTAATATAAAATATTAGATAAGTGTCCAAAATGTTTTTTTTTACAAAAGTTTTATATTATTACATAATGTTTTTGTGTTCTTTTATCTTTTTCATTTTCTATATAACTATGATATCAAAAGTTGACACATTGACTCCAAAAGGTTGAATTGTTTACTTGCCACAATGAAAACAGTTTTTATTTTTTGGATTGATTTTAAATTTATATATGTTTCCAACGTTAATAAGAATTTTTGGGCAAATTTCTTAAACTACCTTTACTGTTTAGCTAATTGACAAGCTATACCCTTTCTGTTTAACTATTGTCTTAAACCATCTCTATTGTTTCTGATAATTGACTAACTATACCGTTGTCATTAACATCAATTAATGTTTTGTCAAAATCCGTACACATATAACACCACGTGATGTTTAAATTTTTATTAAAACCCAAAGTTACAATCCCCTTCCCCTCTCTCTCTTCTCTCTTTCTCTTTCTTCCTTTTCTCCTCCTCCTCCTCCTTCTTCTTCTTCTCAACCACGCTGGCATGCCATCTTCCATCTGAAAATCTCTGCCAGTTCTGTGTGGAACATCGGGAAAGTCCTGGTCCCCTCCCAAGTACATGAAGATGGCCAAACAATTGCTCACCAGCTTGATCAAATCCTTCAGTTGGTTCTCCATGTGACTCCTCATGTGGCCATTCACGTTGCTCAGTCCTTCAGTGCTAGGACGGAAATTGAACCTCTCCAACTCATGAGTTTCCAGCTAGATTTTATTATAGTAAAATACTGTAGGTGGCTCCACCTCATGAGTTGCCGACCAGATATTGAGCCTCGCTAATTCATGAGTTGCCGACCAGATATTGAGCCTCGTTGATTCATGAGTTGCTGACCAAATCTAACTACAATATTAGGTGGCTCCACCTCATGAGTTGTTGGCCAGATATTGAGTCTTGTCGACTGCTCTAAGTTGTAACACCACGATGATAGGTGGTGGCTACCATCTCTAGCGTTTCAAAGCTGCTCATCAAATGTAAGCTACAACACCCATTTCCCCAATTCATGAAGAGAAAAATATTAGTTTTACATAAAATCAATGTAATTTGTTAAAGATATCAATGGAGTTGCCTTATTTGGATCAAACTTAGAGAGTTGATTTAGGGTCTCCTTCCTCAGCTCCTCTACAAATTCTCTCAATTTCTCGAGACCCATCAACTTTAGATAAGTAGTCTTGTCGACCAACAGATCTTTCCCAATTGTCTTCCCTATTCTTGAGATGACTTCGTGAGATCGGGGATATCGTCAGCCACTTGAAACAGCAAGCCGATGCAACTCGCAAACTTCCTCAACGTTTTGGTTTTCTCTTTCGGTCCACCTCCTACAATTGGCCCAATAACAACAAATCCTTCCAACAATTCCACGGTTTGGATGAATTCAAGCTCTTCCAAGCCGACATTAGACAACCTACCCAGCAAATGTGAGTTACGACATCAAATCCCTACCTTTGAACTGCCTTGTAATTCCCTTCACTCTTTGCCGCTTGGTGAAAATCCACCAAATGTGAGCTATGACACCCATTTCCCCTATAATTTTGTCTCTGAACTTCCCTAAAATGTGAGCTATGACACCCATTTCTGGTTACTGTGAAGTCGAGATGGGGATTATAGTCAAGGTCTCAATGGTTACTGTTAAGTTGAGATGGGAATTCCAACTGAGGTCTTCGATAAGCTCAATGGTAGTGGCTCCAAATTCGAATGAGGAGGAAGCAAGAAACTGAGATGATTCACATGACTGACTAATCTGATATATTTCTTGATGGCAATCTTGACAGGTTTGTTTGGGCTTGTTGTTGCAACGACAAAAAAGGTGTAACAAACTTATATATATACACACACACACAGAGGGAGAATTAGCGGTAGCGTGGGTTTTTAATTTAAGGGCAAATTGGACATTTCATATGTTCCATTATGATATAATGGCGATGGTAATTGTCAAAAACAATAGGGGTAGTGCAAGACACAATTATTATACAATAGGGATAGAGTTAGCCAATTAGATAAACAGTCGGGGTAGTTTAAGAAATTTGCCCTAATTATTATTTGTACACTAGGATGAAGAAATGTTCTTTTTTGGGTCATTTTTTTTTTAAAGTACATGTATTTTATATTGTTAAAAGTATTGGATATAGATTTAATTACTAGAATTTATTGTTGAGTTACGAATAGCTTAAATATGAGATTTAATGAGAGAATAGAAGTCAATACCCTAAATATAAGACTTAATGAAAGGGAATTAAATGAAGAGAAATGTAGTAGTTTAAATTACATTTTGTGCCCTCACAATTAAAGAATGACCAAATTAAAAAACAAGGATATTCTAATCAAGAATAGGATTCAATAAATGTTAATGGGAGTTGATACCTTAAATATAAGGATTTGAATGAAAAGAATAATTGTTAAAATTACATTTCTATCTTTACAATTGGAGAGAGACCAAATTCAAAAAATTAGAGGATATTTTAATCAAACAAAAGTTTCACTCTCATTCATACTTCTAATAGTAGTATAGATTTTTAAAAAAATGTTTATGCATGGCGCTGTTTGGTTCCATTGTTGTTTTCTAACAACACCATATAGGAGCCACATCAGCCACCATACCAAAAAATGCTTTGAGAAAAGAAAAACATCAAAAAATGACCTTTTTCTGAGATGGACCATATTTTGAGGCTTTTTTTTTTTTTTGAGAAAACGACTAACCAAACAGCATATGCCGATGTATTCTTGTCTTTTTTTTGTCAAAATCTGATGCAGTTCCATTGTGTGTCATTTTTTTTTTTAAATGGCAATGGAACCAAACACCACCAATAAGTTTTTATTACCTGGCTCGGATGCAAGTTTTCCTTACATTGCCAAATGTCATGTAATCCCACGTGGTTAAATAAATAAATTATGTTTCAATAAATCTTTTTTTATTGGTAACCAATCTTTCAATAAATCCAATCTATTGTTTTTCTTTAAAATTAGTGGTGCAAGTTGGGAAGTCCTAACTCAACTCGAGACTAACCCACCTCTCAATTTTACACATGCTGGATTTGGATTTTTGGTCTTACAATTGGACCTAAGTCCGAAATTTTGGGTTTTTTAATTTTTGGGCTGAGCTTGGCTCTTGCCCTCATGTAGCCTGAACGCAGCCTAAATCCAATCTGACCTTATCCGAATCGAAACCTTGCCTATATATATATATATATATATATATATATATATAATATTGTATGCATACATTCATATACGTATATGTATGTCAATTTTTAGTTTGGACTAACTAATCAACCCGAGTATGACCTGGGCTTAACCCCAACCCAAAGGTAAGAAACTTAAGTGTGGAATGAGCTGAAGTTAAATAATTCAGGCTTGACTCTGGCTTGGGCCACGCTCAGACTTTAGCCTCAATTCTTTTTTAGTTTTTTTTTTTTTTTTGATAGAATAGCCTCAGTTCTTAGGAATGGGCTGGGTTGAGTTAANGCACTCCTGTTTGAAACATTTTAACTTCGTTGATAAAAGATTCCAATCAAGTGGTGCTTGTCAAGGAATTTGGGCTTTTGTAGAAGAACGCGGACGGCCCGACGCTCATTTAATTCGCAAATTGCCACGTGGAAGAGCTTGGGCATCGGAGCCCATGTCCACTGGACTCCTGTCCATGTCCACTAATATTCCCGCTCCATTTGCAGTTAGCTCCACCTCCACCTTTACTAATCATTTAACCTTTGCTAAATTACATCGGAGCGTCCGGATGACCGTTTAGCATCCAACGATTATGATTAAACGGACTCCAACGTCTAGTTTTTTCCTCTCTCAACGGTCGAAAAAACTCAAAATACAGAAAAAATCTCCCAAGATCTCTCCACTCGTTCCCCCCCTCCAACCTTCAAGAAATCCCCCTCGAACAACAGAGAACAAGCAACAATTCGTTGAACTTTATCTTTTCATTTTCTCCATTTCCTGCTCTTCTTTCTTGAAGATTTTCCCTTACTCATTTGCCTGAAAATGAGTATTCTTCAGTACCCAGACGCTGTTAAAGCTCCAGATCTTCAGATATGGAACAACGCCGCCTTCGACAATGGAGGTCTAGACGAATCAGCTAAAGCTAAAGATTCTTGGTGTCCTCTGCAACCGATCTTCGTCAACCAATCTGAAACCCTTGAATCCGATTCAAGTAAAGAAAATCAAGGTCCCGCTATCTGCAAATCCCCTGTTTCTGTAAAATCTCCTATGCCCAACAAGCCCCTTCACCCAAACGGTGCTACGGGACGATACTCGCAAGGGAAGCCATTGAAGTTACTCTACAAACAGGGCCTTCTTCCCCACTCCCCAACTTCGTCCGATAACGGAAGTGATGCCACTCGTGACGTCAGCAAGATTGATACCGAGATTGAGGAGATCGAGATGGAGATCAGTCGGTTATCATCTAAACTAGAAGAACTTCGCCTCGAAAAGGCTGAGAGGAATCTTAAGGAGATTGAAAAGCGCGGACGAATCGTGCCAGCAAAATTCATGGAGCAGAAACAGAGCACAAAGAATTCAGCTACAGCAAGAAAAATGGAAGAACGATCGACAACGAGCAGTAGCACGAAATTTCAGCGCAGAGGCGTCAGTCTTGGGCCATCGGAAATTTTCGCAGGTGTTAGATCCCGGCAGATGGGTAAGCTAGAAATGACCCCCACTCAATCAATAACTAATCGCCGGAAATCATGCTTTTGGAAGCTTCAAGATATCGATGAAGAGAAGGTGACAAAACAAAGAGGACGAACTTTGAGTCTAAGCCCAAAGCCACGGTCATGCGCTACAAAGGTCCAAGCTCCCAAACAAGGACTCACGACTGGCGGATCAAAGAAATATGTGAAAAGAGATGATGGGGTCATGTCGTCAATCCAGCCGAAGAAGCTTTTCAAAGAGAGAGAAAAATCAGTTGCCCCAAAGAAACCATCAAAAAATGGGAGAGTAGTAGCCAGCCGATACAATCACATTCCAGTACAGCCTGCTGGAAATCTAACAAACAATGATCGGCGGAAGAGGTCATTGCCAGAAAATGAGATTGATGGTAAGAGATGCGATAAGAAACTTGTTTCCTCAGTTGGAAAGTCAGCTGCGTTTCTGCCGGAATCCGGCGGAAATCAGGTCAAAGAGAAACGCCCCAAAAAACGGTGGGAAATTCCTAGTGAGGCGGAATTTGCTCAAAAGAGTTTAGAAGATGTCTCTCCAGCTTCAATTGTGAAGATGACAGAATTGCTTCCAAAAATCAGGACAGTCCGATGCATTACGGAAGAAAGCCCTAGGGATTCTGGACCTGCTAAGAGAGTTGCAGAGTTGATTGGAAGAAAATCTTATTTTGGTGACGAGGGAACAGAGGTGGAGACTTCAGTCTGTCAGGCTCTTAGTTTTGATGACGAGGAAGAAGAAGAAGAAGAAGAATAAGATATTTCCTTTTCTTCCTTTTTCTCCCATTTTTAATTAGTGATTTGTGATGGGGTAAGCTTGCTTTAGCTTCCTCAAAATGGTACGCTAGTTTCTACATTTTCATTTTTTCTCTGTTCTTTGAATTCATATGGGAATAAGATTTCTCTCTTTGTTCATAGTTGTGATCTAATGGCTGGCTGTTCGGCTTTTCATAGCAGAGAATAAACTTAAGAGTATCTTAATAACCATGGCTTCCTTGTTAACTGAAGTATGCTTTTGTTCGAAAAAGAACTAAAATTTCATTGAAATTTTACAGGTTGAAAAATATCTGGAATCAAGGTTGTTTGTCCACCTTTTGATAAAAGAGAATGAGTTATTATTCCTACCAAACAAAAATCCTTGAGGCTAATAGACAGTCTGTGCCTTGATGCATATCCAGTAATGGCAGACCTCTGGTTTATATCAGCCTAATTAACACTTGCATTGCATCACATTGATACAATGTCTGGGAGTTATTTTGATTGTAATGCTATTCAATGGAGTCAGATATTTTATAGAAAATACAGCTGTATGTGAAAGGGGAAAGAAAATTTGATTCATGGAAATTGCTATTGTTTTTGGATACATTGTTTTAGCTCAACTGCATCTCTTAGCTATTATTGCAGTTGAAATATTACAGAGCTAATTCTGATCATCATTATAAAATTTTTGGAAGAAGAATTCCACTTTTTGAAATCTGAAAAGAAAAAGAAATGATAGAAGAGTGTAAGAGGCTTTTTTTTTTTGGTAACTCAATACAATCAATCCTATAAGACTCCTAGGGTCAACCAAAATATAATCCAACTATCCACATGGCAAAAGAAAGGCATTATCTTATTGCCATTTTTAATATATTGAAACTTAATTATTTTATTACTTGGTAAAGTTCCCAATACAGGATTTCTATTTAATTTACATGATTACCAAAAAAATTAATTGATTCATGGATCTGCCCCTAAGTTGATTAGTTGCTAGATTGGCTTCCTACTTTTTCAAATGTCAAAAAAAAAAGGGAATAAGATTTTAACTGACATATTTAGCATAACTTTTTGGGCTTGTTAGGCTGTGTGCATCCCTTGGTGCTCTAATTGTGAATGTGAGTGAGGCCTTGGCAATGAAGGAAGAAATCAACTTAGCTAGTAGTAGCATGGGCAATTGCCCAGTTTTTGTTGAAAGTTTTGCCAAGATTGTAATT